CAGAGCAGATGGGGCAAAGTTTTGCATTGCTTGACTGTCCACATTTTTGGTTCTCTGCCAAGCCTTCCCCAACACTGCTCTGTGCCAGCCCCAGGAGGGAAGAGGACACACAAGTGCCACTCTGCCTTTGTCCCAGGAGAGCCAAGCACTCACCCTGACCAGCCCATGCTCAGAAAGTGCAAGCTGGGCAAGGCCAAGAGGGAGAAGAGCCTGTGGGACAGCAAGGATCCTGTCAGGATCTGAACAATGGAGAATGAATAAAACAAAGGGATTTGTTTCCCAGAACGAAGGGGCAAACAAAGCTCAGGCTCTGTTCCTGCAGGCCCTGGCTCTGGAGCACAGCTGGGCCAGGGGCAGTGTGGGGCCTCCCAGCAGCTTTGCCCTCCCCACAGTGCCTGGGGAGAGGAGCCCAGCCCCGAGGGGAAGCAGCCCCAGCCCTGCTTTTGCCAGGCAGTGCTGGCACAGCCATTCCCAGGGCAGCTCAGGGCCCTGCTCCTTCAGGGAACAAAGGGCAAGGGCTGCATCCAAGAAGGAGGTGGCCCCATGGTCAGCAGGAATCATCAGGCCAAGCCAAGGGCTAGTCCAGGGAAATGCTGTTTGCCTTCCTGCTCCCCAGGGGCAACCTCAGACCCTGCAGAACACGATGCTCACGTGCCACTGGCTCAGGGGATGGGAGCAGCTTCCTCAGGATTCACACGAGGAGCTGCTCCAAGGGGGACGGGGGGCTGTGGTGAGCTGAGCAGCCCAAAATGTTGGCTCTGGAATGCACCAAAAACCTTGGGCCTCAGAGGCCAGCAAGAGCTACTGAGGAGCAAAGAGTCACAGCTGGAATCTCCCCATTGCTCCAGATGGAAGAAGGAAGGAGCTGGGAGAGCAGATCCAGAGGGATCTATTCCACTCTGCTGTGCCTTCTCCTGCAGCAGGCAGGAGGGGAGGGCTGAGGGGAAGGGAACATGCCAAGAAGGAGGTTGCTGCTGCCACCCAGGCAGACAGTTCTCCATCCCTACATCTCAGTGAGCACTTCCCAAGCAGCTCTCTCGAGCCAAGGTACAGCAGCACTGCCAAAGCCAGGCCAGGCTGGCTGCTGCAAGGACTCTCTCCTCGGCACAGAGGAGCCAGAAGCTTGGCAGCAGGCAGCCAACACCTTCTAGATGTAAAATTCCAAGCTCCCATCATGGGGAACACAGGGACATCAGACAGTCACTTGCTGTCATGCTCAAGCAGAAGATGCCTTGCAGCAGGAAGGAGCGTTATTGTCCCTGTCAGGAGAGGGTGTTGGTCTCTCTCCAGCAGCTCCAGACACAAGAGTGCTGTGTTGGAGGGACATTTAAACACAAAGCAATTAATTGACAGCTGGACTGACACAGTGCTCCGAGGAGCTCACAAGAGCCTGCCCCATCCCTCACAGGGAGCTCAGTGTCCCACAGGAATCCCACTGAATTGGAGCAGGAGATCTCCATCACTTCAAGAGCCTGTCAATCCCTCTGCAAGCTCTCAGTGCAAGGTCCCCTCTGCTTTGCTGTACAGTTCTCCCCAGGCACTCTCCTCCCCAGCCCTTCCCACCCTGGTTCCTTCCAGCCTGCTCTGATAACATTCCTGCACCAGCTTCCCTCGTGGAAAAAACTGGATCCAAGCACTCCAAAGCCATCTCTCACTGTGCCCTCAGGCCCCTCAGCAGCCAGCACAAGGAAGTGAACTGTCAGCAGAGCTTAAGGACCATTAAACCTTCAAATCCCATCAGCCCAGTGGGATGGAAACACCTTCCCAGCAGGCTGAACTCCAGGCTCTGGTGTCTGCGGTCACCGACACAGAGATTTTCCTTCCCACTCTTCCCAAACCCAGCATCCTGCTCCCCCCCTGAGCTCCCTGGGTACTCACAGCAGTGGACAGGCGGGATGCCAGAGTCATCTCCAGGTTCCCCTTCAGGCCCAGCAGTGCAGGTACTAAGATAAACAAATTGGTCACGTTTTTGAAGACGTCCCAGTGCTGCAAGATTAAAACACAGACAGACCATCAGATCTCGGCATGGCTGATCCAAACCCTTGCTCTGAGTGGCACTTCCTCATCACCTTTGACACCTGGCAGTGCCCCCAGCAGCCATCCCAGTCCCCTTCCTGCTGCCACACGTGGAATTTTGCAGTGATTTTACCATTTTTGACGTTTGTGTAGCAGGCACCACGTTTTCCCGCTGAGTTTAAAAACCAGCTCCGAGCTGGCAATTTTCAGTGAAAAATCCCCCCAAAATTCCCCAACTGACAAAATGTTTACACACAGAGAGGCCAAAATAGGGAAAGAGGAAGAGACTTTGCCCAATATTTGCAATTTTTGGCAGACTCTGAAGCTTGGTCAGTCTTGGCTGAGAGCCATTCCTATGTGTGTGTCTCACAAATACATTTTGGAGCAAAGAATTGCTGCTCCCTGATCCAAAATCCAGCCCACTGTGGCCACCTTTTCCTGGTACCTCACCTGGCACCTACATTACAGGTATTTCCTAACTCTTCTGGCTCTCCAGTCAAGTCACCTCCCCTGGGATGAGGGAGGGAGGCAGCCACGGTTATTTAGGAAAAAACAAAGGGTAATTGCAGGGTAAGCAGCCTTACAGAAGAGCAGCTGGCTTGCAGGAAAACACAAAACCACTCCAAAAAACCTCACAACTGCATTTAAAAAACCCCTCAGGCCTCACTGCCCCTTTCTGTATTGTCATGGATGTGTTGCAAGAAGGCCCTGTGTCCAAAATAACTCCTGCTTCCCACACTGCCTGGCTGCCAAACTCCTTAAAGGCCACTGGAATCACACTCCCAGCAGCTGGTGCTGTGCTGGGCACGTTAAACATCACAGCTCTGCAGCTTTACCTGTCAATGGTACCTGCAAAAGTTACCTGGGAGAGGCTCCACCTCTCCCAGAGCTTTTTCCTTGGCAGTGTCAGACTGCCAGGCTCAGCAGGGACACGCATTTCTTTCTAGGACAAGGAAGACTGTGGGCCAACACCTTAGAGCAAATATAAGTCACTCTCTCTGGGTGACTAATACCTTCCTCTGGGGAAGGGTTTCAGTCATTTTTGTTTATTTTTCCATCCCTCACCACTAAGCCAACAAGTTCCAGTTTCCTGTAGGTCCTTTGCAATACCACACTCAAGCTGCACTCCCTTGAAAAACCATCGGAGAGAGAAAAATGCTTGAGATGGATGAACTGGGACCACTTTTCTTCAAAGGCCAAAAGTGTTTTCCAGTCAGAAGAATTCCCTTAATGCTTCTGAGGCCCTGGCACAGGTTGCCCATAGAAGCTGTGGCTGCCCCATCCCTGGAAGTGTCCCAGGCCAGTTTGGAGCAACCTGGGCTAGTGGAAGGTGTCCCTGGCCATGGAGAGGGTGGAATGAGATGAGCTTTAAAGTCCCTTCAACCCAAACCATTCTGGGATGCTCCAACAAGCTGACCACACACTGCAGCTCCCAGGGACATGGATAAAAGCTGCTCAGCTATTTCAGGCACAACCACAACTCTCTGTCTGCTCCTGAGGATCCCAGTCTCCAGGAGAATCCACCATCCCTGGAGGTGTCCAAGGAACGACTGGACGTGGCACTCGGTGACAATGTGAGGATTGGTCACAGGATGGACTTGGTGACCTTGGAGGGATTTTTCAACCTCAGTGACTCTGTGACTGTGATTTCAGTGCTCAGTGCTGAGCAGAGCAGGAGAGCACAGACTCAGACACTCCATCCAGCCCAGCCTCACGTCAGGCTGTGCTTCCTTTAAGACACATCCAGGCGAGCTCGGCTCTCCCCACTCTATTTTTAGCAGTCACTGTGATTATTTTGCTGGGTGTTCCACGGGTGAATCCTCTGCTACAACTTCCCTCAGCAGCATCCAGGACTCAATCAGCGAACACCACGCTCCCACTTCCCAGCAGGACGAGCTGGGTGTCACCAGAACCACTTAATGAGAGGAACATCGTCATTAGTCAGACCACGGGCTGGAGTGCAAAAGTTTCCTGGCTCCAGAGATCACAGAGGCAGGATCAGGCAAGAGCCAGCACCAGTTCAAACCCCCCCTCACCTTGTCCCAACCCTGGCTTTGTAAATTAACCTTTAAGGGGGAGGCTGCACTGCAAACTGGTGCCAGAGGCAGCTCCCTGAGAGACGGGGCTGTTTGTGGAGAAAGGAATAAAAGCCATCTTTGGGGGAGGAAAACAAGGAGATTTCTGCAGACCTCAGCAGCTTGCTCACTGCAAAGAGCAGGACCCATGGGCTCCTGCCAACTTTCTTAATATAAGATGTTATACAACACTGGGCTATGGGCATTTCCTACAGCTCCAAGGCCTCCATGGCTCCTGCAGGGAACAAAGATCCCTGTGGAGACACGTGCCCATGATGTGGCTCCATGGGGAGAACCAGGGCCAGGCTGTTCTGGGGAAGACAACAAAATGGGAAAGAGAAGAGGAAATAAGACTTTTAAGTTCAGGACATCGAGATGATAAAATCCCTTTCTGCCTGTAGCAGCCCCTCTGAGAAGTGCAGAAATCAGCTGTTTTCAGGGAAAGATCCTCCAGCATCATCCAGTCTGCTCCATGCAAAGGGGAACTGGGGAGTGAGGGGGCTCTGGCTGCCTTCCAGCAGGGCTGTGGCAGAGAATTACAGGCAGAGGCACCTCACCTCCAGCACCTCCTCCCTGCCCTCTGCAGAGGGGGAGCACAGGGGCTGTAAGATACATATATAATATGTGACACAATCACAGTCTGGGTTTCACTCATTTCAGCTTTATTTTCTACTGAGCCACAGCCCCTCTGAACACAGATCTACCCAGACACAGCAGATCCTGGTGTCTGCTGGGCAGCACTGGAGGGGTCAGACCAGACAGGTCTGGAGGGTCTGGATGAAACACCAACCCCCAGGGGCTGTTTTGCAGCTCCCTCTGGTCCCGCTGCCTTTCGGAAGCTCTGCACCTACAGGAAGATATTCCCGGGGGATCAGCTGCCCCTCAGCTGTGTCATTTCAGTCCCTGGGTGTGAAGTGAAGGCTCACAGCTCACGAGGAAGAGCTGGTTTTGCTCAGATGGCAGCAGGGTGGTGATTCATGGCTCAGGGGAGGGGCTGCTGCAGGTCGGAGCTGCGACTGCCTCGGTGCAGCTGCTTCTCCCGGCATTCTCCCTCCAAAATGCCACGGAATGGGCAGCCCTAATGGGAATGCAGGACTGGCAGTCCCTGACACCCACCCTGGAGGGATGGTAACACCAGAGGGGGAGAAGCAGGGGAAAGGAGCAGGCTCCCTCATCCATATGAAATCCTGTCCATCCAAAGAACCTCCAGGGAGCTGATAAGTCTGGAAAACAACAACAGGGACTCTGCTGGGAAAGGGGACTGTGCCAACAGTCCTGCACTGTACACAAAAACCAGCCAGGGCACTCACATGTACCTGGCCTGGAGTCTCTGCGATCCCAGAGGGAGCAGAGGCAAATCCTCCTCCTGAGAGGCACATTCCCGGGGCCACGTTAATGGGACAGCATGGCCACAGGCCAGGGCTGCTTGTTTTCACAGTGGGGAGACCAATTACAGCTGGCTGATTAGTCCAGTCCTCCAAAACACAGGACATGGAGTGTATGGAGCCCCCAGCCAGCACCAACCATGGCTGCATCCAAAGCCACGGGACTCCAGTGACCCACTCCACATGCTTCCTCCCTTCATCCAAGGTTTTGAGCCTTTGGAAGCCAGTTATCAGGATCAGCTCCCCAAGCCAAGCCAACAGGCTTCCCATCCCCCTTTCCCACCCTATGGCTCATTTAATCCCAAGGCTAAAGGGAGTTAGAGCTGTTGGCAGGAAAAGCTGCACAGCCACACGCTGAGCTGCTTGTGGGACACGGGAATTACAAAGTTTTATTTCTAATGGCCCTAAAAAAGAAAGGCAGGAGAACACAGGGCTCAGCTGCAGTATCCCAGCCCTGCCCACTCCTTCCCAGCCAGAAGGGCTGCTCCTTCTCCAGGAAAAACTTTAGGTTGGGTTCAAATCCCTGGCTCTGGGGGACTTCCAGAAGAGCCACGCATGAGTTTACAGGGACCTTTGCAGAGGGAAACACGCTTGAAAGGTCTTTCTTTTTAAGAAAATGATTCCAGTAAATCTCTCTCTCTCCCAGATTAATTTAGCACATCCAGCTTTTCCTGTTTTGAGTCACTTCACAGCTCTCTCAACGGCCAAGAGAGCCCGTAAGGATGACCAGAGTGCAAAGGCACGCAGGGAAATTGCTGTTACGGGCAGGACACCACGAGGAGTGTCTGCTTGACCACCCACAAGCCCAAAAAAACCCTCTGACTGACTTACCCTGGCACAGGATAACACCCTGGGCTGACACTCAAGCCCTTCTCTGCCAACACTCGAGGGCTTGTTTACCTCACTTGAGCAAAGAGAGGAGCTTCAAGCAGAGCATTTTTGGGTGACCACAGCTCCAAAATGGCTGCCTCCCCCATCCAAAGAGTCTCATAAACCTCCACTGCACAGATGAGCCAGTTCTGAGCCTCAGTCACCACTTTGGGCTGGGCATCAGACAGCTCTGCCCAGCCTGTCTTTCAGGGCAAAGGAGAAGAGGTGAAGCAACTCCTCTGCTGCCAGAGTCACTGCTTGGAAAACGTGTTATAGACCAGTGCAGGAGCCACAGCTTCCAAAGGCACCATTCCCACATAAAAACACAAACAAGCTGCCAGGCTGTCGGGTTCCCACAGCATCACCTGCCAAGGTAACACGTTGGTTTTCATCCAGAGGTCACTGCCAGCTCTCTGGCAGGCCTTTCCTAAGGATCACCTCCACACACCTCCCAGGAGGAACCACTCCTTTAGCCCTGTCACCCCTGGCCACATCAGGAGCACGAGGAGGAGGTGAAGGGGCCACGTGGCCTTCAGGCTTTGGAATGAGCCCCCCCACAGGTGTCCAGCACACGCTGTGGCAGGAGAATCATTAACGTGGTGGCACGAGCCTGGTGTGCTGGGACAGCACAGCAAACACCCAAGATGGAAAAGGGACACAAGTGGAACCAGTGCCTGGGGCTGGGATGTCACCAGCCACCAGCAGGGAAGGGCTTCATTTCGAGCTGTGATGCAAGGTGGTCTCAGGTGCCACATCGTGCCACATTGTGACCTCCTCCTCTGAGCCACAGCTGTGCAGCTGTGCAGGGGTGCCCTCGGCCTCTCCTTCCCTCATTCCACACATCACCGAGGTCTCCCTGTCTCCCCTTCCCCAGCCAAGAGAACTGGTCTCCTTCCCTCCCTGTTGCCATCTGCTGAACTAGCCTTGGCATTCCAGTCCCTCCTGGCTTGACAGGATTCAGAGCCCAGTGCCATGCCAGGGAAGCATCAATCCTACCTGCACAATGTCCAGCACCATTCCAGCAGCAACTGTCCCAAAGCCTGCCAGGAGGAACGGGAAGAGGACTTGCAGCCCAATGGAAAAGGAGGTCTCCTTGAGGGGCGAGGCTGGCTCAGGACTCTGGTGTGTGCTGGTGTCATCGCTTTCATTGCTCTGGCTGCCATTTTCCAGCAGGGCATCATCTTCTCGCACCCCTTTGGCGTTGGCACGGGACTCCAGCACCACTGCTTCTACTGCAGCAGGTCCCAGGAAATCTGAGGGCTCCACCAGCTGCCCCTGGTCCGGACTGGTGAGATGGTCCACAGGCACAGCCCCGTTGGCCTGGTGGGTCTCCTTCTTCTCAGGCTTGGCAGACATGCTGTTCAGAGGCTATCCTGACCCTTGGCTTGGTGGGCCTACAGCCAGCAGCTGTTCCAGAAGAGATCTTCTGCCAGGAACTTACACAAATGGCCTTTCCGGCATCTAGGAGCGACCTCTCCTATCCCTGCCCGCCTGCCTTGGAGTGCAGAGCCTGCTCCTGCAGCAGAGATCCCCATCAAGCAAAGTCCAGGAACGGGGGACACCAACCACTGAGAGAGCAGGAACTGGGAATGATGGCCAGTTGATTCCCTCTGGTTCTCCTCTCCAGTGCTGTGTGCTACAGCAGCCTCCAAGGCAGGATCCAAGCTTTCCTTCTTTGACGTGTGACACTTCAGTGCATCTTTTTCCAGGTTTTCTTCCTGCAGCACGGCTGCTGTGATGGGGCACCCAAGGCAAGGAGAAAACCCAGCTTGTAGAGACGATCCAGCCTGGAAAAGCTCTTTTTGCTACCTTCTTTTGCTTTTCCCAGTAGCACTCTGCCCCTGCAGAATTCCAGTCTGAAGTCTCCTGTGGGGTTTTTTGCTCTGTTTCAGCCTGGCTTTTGCTCTCTGCCAGCAATCCCGGCAAGCTCCAAGTGTCTGTCGTCCTCCTCTTCCAGGAGAATTTCTCACCCGACAGCACAAGACAACCACAGCTCTTATTTAGAGCAACAGCAGGTCCCCAGTTAAGGTCGCTCGCTGAGCTGGGCGGGCTGCAGGGTGGGCTCTGGCATTCGGACAGCCCTGGATTTGACGCGGCTTTCCAAGAACTCGCCTTTCACCTGAAACACAGGGGAGGAAAACAGATATTCTGTTGGATTCCGCGGCAGCACAAGAAGCTCCTTCATTTCTATGTCGAAGGTTCAGACTTCAACGCACCCCGGACTATCCCCTCGGCTCTTCTTCCCCTCTCAGGGGGCCGCGTCGGGGGACAGAGGGACCCCCGAGCCGCAGGACGCCCGGGGCCCCCGCCTGCCGGTGCCGCAGCGCCCGCAGAGCCGCGTCGCGGGGGGAGCGGGACCGGCGCTCCCGGAGCGCAGCGGGAGCGGCCGCGGAGGGGACACGGCGGGGATGCGCTGCCCCGAGCGGAGCGGAGCTGCCGCGGCCGGTCCCGCGCCGTGTGCCCGCGGTGCCGCCGCTCCCTCAGCGCTCCACTCGTTGCCCTCTGCGCTCCCTCAGCGCTCCCTCCCTCGCGGCTCCCTCACCTCCCTCAGCGCTCCCCCGGCCGCTCTCCCCGCTCTGCCCCGCCGGGCCCGGCGCGCGCCGCCCTGACATCACCCCCCGCCAATGGCGGCCCTGCCCAGCGCGCCGCGCCGCGCTCCTATTGGCTGCGGGCGCGTGGCGTCACTCCCGGCCCCGCCCCCTGCGCGGACCACGGCGGGGAGGGGGGAGAGGAGAGGCCACGCCCCCTTCGTGGGGCTGGGCGTGGCCTGGGGTCACGTGGGGGAGAGTCCGCGTGGAGCGGGGGGAGCGATCCCTGTGCGTCCGTCTGTCCGTCCGTCCGTCCGTCCATCCGTCCATCCATCCATTCATCCCTCCGTCCATCCATCGCTCCATCCATCCATCCATCCATCTATCCATCCACCCATCCATCTGTCCATCCATCCCTCTGTCCCTCCATCCATCCACCCATCCATCTGTCCATCCATCCCTCTATCCATCCCTCCGTCCATCCATCCCTGAGCTGTGCCAGGATCCAGTGATCCCACTGGCCATCCACCATCCTGCTATCCATCCATCTGTCCATCCCACTGTCCATCTATCTGCTACCCCCTGATCCATCCATCCCACTGTCCTGTCATCCATCCATCCATCCATCCATCCCACTATGGATCTGTGCTTTGATTATCCCCCATCCAGGGGAATGTGGCTGGAGCCAGGCCCTGGAGCAGTACAGGTGGTACCCACTGGCTTTCAGGCCTCTGCCAGACTGGTGGAGTTGAGGGAAAAAAAATCAGGAATATTGTCACGTCCACACTTTGCCTGTTTACGCCAAACCACCCCCCAACAAATAAATAAAAAGCATAAAAACTCCTGCTGCAGAGATAAGCTCCTCAATGCTCTGCAAAATTCCATGTTCTTGAATGACACCAACTCTTCTGATTCATGTTTTCCTTTTATTTCCCCATTTTTTTCTTTTTTTTTTTTTTTTTTTTTTTTTTTTTGCATGAGTGGAACTTCTGAGCAGTTGTTGTTTTTTCCTTCCTGCCTTTCCTTTCCTCCCAGGAAACAGTCAGCAGCAAGTTATTACTCAGAGTGATGACGTGATCCCCAGCTCCAGGCCTTGGAGACAGGTTTTGGGCCAATAAGGGTGGCTGTGACACAACCACCCGTGCAGGGGGAAGGGGGAGGGCAGCACAGGAACCACATTCCCCCATGGATACAGGGAGACAAGTGTGACTGGAGCTGGTGACTTCATTCCTTGAGGAAACAAAGGCAGTCATGGGCAGCAGGGGATCCATTGTGATCTAAAGCTCTGGGCTCTGCTACTTCATTTCTGTCTGCTCTCGTTAAAAATTGAGCAAGAGAAGGGTTTTTTCCTGAAGTATTTGCTGCTTTGGGAGAAGAGGGTGACTGGAACACGTGGAGCAGAGCAGAACTAATGACAGAAAGCAGCTCTGATGAGGGACTTTTTATACAGGCAGAGAGTGACAAGACAAGGGGTGATGGTTTTAAACTGCCAGAAGGCAGGGTTAGGTGGGATATTGGGAAGAAATTCCTCCCTGTGAGGGTGGGGAGGCCCTGGCACAGGTTGCCCAGAGAAGCTGTGGCTGCCCCATCCCTGGGAGTGTCCAAGGCCAGGGTGGATAAACCTGGAGCAACCTGGGCTGGTGGAAGGTGTCGCTGCCCATGGCAAGGGGTGGAATGAGATGATGTTTAAGGTCCCTTCCAACCCAAACCATTCTGTGATTTCAAGGCTGAGGAGCCTCTGGAGTCACTTACCTAATTCCCAGACCCTTCTATTGTGACACCAGCAAAGAGACCTCAAGGAAAACTTAAGACATACAGAGACATGTCTTAACTAAAACCACAACACACTTCCACACTCAGGCTGGGATTGGAGCTCCAAATCCTGCCTCCAACCCCAGCCTCTCTTCTCCTTTGTCCAAATAAACCTGGGTAAGGCTCTCCTTCCACCTGCATCTTTCCTTCCTGACTCAGAAAATCCGTATCTCCCCCGGAACAACCATCCCTCCCTCACCTCCCCAAAAACAAGGCACACCAAAACGTGACCTCAGTGCTGCCCAGCCCAGCTGCACGCTCAGGAAGTGGAAGTGTGGAGACAAAAGCTGCCTGAGACAAGAACACAGAAATAGATAAAACCCCCACCAGCGCAGAGATCAGAGAGGCAGAGGATGAAAGGGCAGGAAATGGGTTTCCAATTGCAGGGAGCAGGTACCAAAGGCAACAAAGTGTTTGGAGAGGGAAGGGTTTACCACTGAGCTGCAGTTGGATCAGGGAATGTGGTGCCCGTGTGTTTTACAGCAGCCACGTGGTTTTGGCACTGTCAAACTGTCCAGCTCTGGGCCAGCACTCAGGAACAGCCCACAATGGGTATAGGGTATAGGGTGACTCCCTCTTGCACAGAATGCAGCAAAATAAAAGGGTTTGGCCAAAGTCACTCAAAACATCCACCTCATCCCGAGCTGACAGTGCCCTGAGAGGTGCCTTTGCTGCCTGCTCCAGCTCCACCACTCTGTCACAGATGTCAGTGCAGTCCCAGCTGCCTTTGGCCAAGGATCCTGAAGGAACTGAGTTCCTAATGACTTGCAAACAGGAATCCCAACAGGCAAACTCAAAGACTGGTCATGACTTACCCCTTCAGATGTCAGTCCAGAGCAAAAGCAGCTCACGAGGGCAGGCAGTGATGTCAGAGGCTGACCCTGATCTGGGAGATCTGGGAGATGCAGACCCTGGAAATTCTGTTTTGCCAGCCTGGAAGCAAACAAACCCATCACCATCCTTTTTTTTTTTTCCAAGGCCCACATGACCAGTGCTCCCAGCTGTGTTCCTGTGTCACCCACGTGCTGTGACAAACACGGGTCAGCCCCAATCAGGTCTGTCCCTTGGGCTTTTGGCCACGTGAGAGCTCCTGGCAGAGAGGAGCTGAAAGGTCCTGGTTTCCTCTGTTCCACAGGGCCAGTGGTTCCTGTGAGATAGCAGGGCCATGGACACCTGTCATGGAGGCCCTGAGGATGTGCCTCACATTTCGGGTTTGTTCCGGATATGAGCTGTGAGCTCATTTATATTCAGAAATCAGGCTGAAGGAAACACAAATACCACAAGGCTGGTCAGAGCAGAGGCTGGTATTAGAAAAGAATAAATGAAAATCATCTCTTTTACTCCCTTCTATTTCCCAGAATCACAGAGTAGTTGGGGTTGGAAGGGACCTCTGGAGATCCAGGCCCTTCCATGGGGTCACCTTTCTACTGCAACACCAGGCACAGTGTTCAAGTGATCTGAGTATTTACAGGGCTGCAATAAACCATACACTGTGTTGGATTAAAAATACAAGTTAAAATGCATGAAAAGCACCCTGGGAAACGCTACATGTTGCTTCTAAACCCCACTGCCCAGGCTGTGACCAACTCGTGGGTAAATCCATCAGTGCCAAAGAGCATTTTCCCTTTGTCCCCTGCCCTCACCACCCTTCCATGGGGTCATTTTCCTTCCTGCTGAGAACTGGCTGCAGCTTCCTCTGGGGCCCACCACCACCACAGCTCTTCAGTCAGCTCAGTGATCTGCACTGAGCAGGGCAGGTCCCTCCCTTCCCCACCACGCTGAGCTCTTTATCTCCACCACCCGCTGCCCCAGGAAGTGTGGGAGCGGAAAGCAGAGCCAAGGCCCTGCACAGCAAACCTGATGTCACACAGCCTGCCCTGAGCTGCTCAGCTGGGCAAAACAACCCCTGGGCAGCACTTCTGCACCACTCCAGGCACTGAGATGTTGAGAGAGACCTCACAGCTCATGGCAATGCATCTTTAAAGCGTTGTAACAAGAACCTGAATTCGTGGACTAAAAGGACAAACACGTCTAAAAGTTTCAGAGCACCAGCAAGGGGAGGACTGAACACATTGGCAAGAGTCTGTGCAGGGTTCAGCCACTGAAGAGCACAGAGTTAAGGGTCACAGGCTGAGCTAGAGGTGAGGAAGGCTCCTCTGGAGCAGCAAAGGACACTGCAGGCTGTGGCTGAGCAGCCTCCAGATTCCTCAGTGAGTGTCTTGCTCTGGTGAGGGCAAGGACAGAACCTGCCCTCACAGCACCTGCTTGAGAAAATGGGTTTTGCCAGCTCTGTGGAACACCAAATAAAATGGCAAAAGAGGAGCCAAGAATGCAAGTGTCAAGTGCCAAGCTGGAGGAAACAACTTTGTAAACACCTTGTTCCTGCGTCCCCCTGCAGCTCTGGGCCTGAACTCCCCACGGTCACTCGGGGCTGAAAATAAACCAAGCCTTGTTAAACAGAGGGCAGCAACAGAGCTTTCTTTAGAAAATGCAGGTGTGGAATGTGACCTCTTCTCCATGTGTAGCAGGCCCACAGTAGGCTGGGATGACTGGGCAACTGCAGATACGTTATGTAGGGTTGTCAGAAGAATGGCAGCTTTGTGGACTTGGGGAAGAGCAGGGAAAAAAGGAAGTTGCTATGGATATAACACAGAAAAATGTTAACACACTGGAATTGGACCAACAGAGTGTTCAGATCATTTGTATGACACCAAGTTACCTGTCTTCAGAGCAGAAAAATCAGGCTTTCCTTCTCTGATGAGTCAGAGGTAATTGCTCTCCATGCTCAAGGCACAGTGACTCATTACAACCAAAAAAGCATAGCTCTGAGAGTTAATAATCTGTGTTTTCATGGGCACTTGGCATTAGCAAGGAACTATTCACACTAAGGTGATCTTTGCAGGAAGGGCCAGCACATCACCTGTGCACTTCAGTGACATGATGACACCAAGATTTCACACAGCACTCAGGGTAAGAGACATTCCCAGAAAACTAAAATGGGGTGGAAAGAAAACCGTGGTGTCAGGAGAGCTGTGCAGACACCAAACCATCGAGTGCCCCTTCAGAATAGTGTCAGATGAGCATGACATGGCAGCTAAT